CGGCGAGTTCTGGCTGCTCCGAGCCTGGCCCTCGGACGCCGCGACCGCTCCCGGGGCTAAAGCAACCGAGTTCCTGCCTCGCCAGAATTTAGGTTTAAACTAGCAACATCACGGGGAAAGTCGGTGCTGTTGGCGTGCAAAGCCCGATTTTACCGGTGTAACTAACAGTAATTAGCATTTCTTAAGGAGGGGGGTTACGACACTAAAGTATAAAACCTGTACGATATCTAACGTGCCTGTTTAAACTTTAAACTGCTTAGAAAGCATTTCCTGTCAGCTCAGCCCAGAGCATGACATGGAGCTGAACCCACCCACCTGCAGAACTGCTGGAGGCTCAGCAGTGGTACTGCCCGACGATGCTGGGCTAGGCAGAGGTTCTGGCTGACCTAGTATTATAGCCTGTCTTTCAGGAAACTTATTACACCAAAAACCATGATAGAATTAACAACGTACGTCTGCCCAGTTTGACAGAATTAAGTACAAGACTCAGTTCCAAACTTCCCATTACTTGTTTTGCCTCAACTGACCTAAAAAATTCTTAGTTCTGTAGGCTGCTACCAGGAATGGCAGCAGAACTGTTACCTTTAACTGTAGGAATGCTTTCATATTGTACCTTATATATATTCAAAACCAAGGCTACTCTAATCTTTATATGTTTTATGAATCCAGAAGTTGGGCTGAAAGTAAATGCTGGAATTATTAGAATTGTGCCAGTTACACAAATCTAAAGAATACCACTCTGCACATTTCATCTTTTTGTAACTGATTTGCCCTGGGAACAGAGACCCAGCATCTCTTGAACAGTCAGGATAAGCTTACCAAAAAAACCCCTGACTTTTACCATTCTATTCTACTGCCAGCTCACACAGAAAGTATAGGATTCCTGTAGGGGAGGGATACTGAAGCCGTTTTCTTATTTTATCATTGTCTTTTGTTGTTCACTTGACAATAGCTTTGTATTTATGGTCAAATTATTTTATTTTTGTATAAGCACTCTTTTACTAAATGAAGCATGGAAGTTTGGCGTTGCCCTTCAGAGTCAAATCTCTGCAACTCCTACTTAGGCAGACCTGTTTTAATTTCACTTGCTTGGCAATTTATTTAAAAAGTGAAACAAAACAAATGCACTTAAGTAGACCCAGCCTTATAAAAATCACTCAAGTTTCCAGCTAAGGTTAGGGAAGCTTTATACAGATGTAACAATCACCCCCATCATACTATCTGGAAAATCAGGATCTTGGCGAGAATAGCAAGAATATAATAAAAACGATCACAAGGTAAAGCGAAAGGCACCAAAGAGGGTTTCAAGAACACGAAGGGCAGACAGCGTATACGGTAAGGAACTTGGATGAAACCATAGAGGTAAGTGCTATCTGTGGGCTGTGGTTAGATTCCTAGTGAAGGATTTTGAGTTCTGGAGCATGTTTTTTTCCCCGCAAGTCTAACAAAATTTGACTCAATCGGAGCACAAGGCCCGTTCCCTTCCCCATCCCGGGCTTTGTTTTAGGGGCCAGAAGCAGGATGGCAGCGCATGCTGGCAAACTGGGGAAATATCTTTCTCCTGATTAACTGACTGAACTGAAAATATTACCAGCAGAATAAACTACGCGACTTTCAGAATTCACTAAGATTTTTTTGCTTTCTGATGCTTGCCATAGCTCTTCTTGCAAGCTGTTTTTTTCTAATGATCCAGTGAAGATCGTAAAGGCAAAAGGCCAGTATATGTATGATGAGAATGGAAGACGGTACCTTGACTGCATAAACAATGTTGCTCATGGTAAGTTAAAAGTCATGTTATTCGATACCATGTTTTTCTAAGCAGAACAAGGAACAATCAGTATTTTTTACCACTGTTGCATTGTGTTGGGGGAGGGGTCGTTTAATTGGAAAGGTGGAAAAAACCTCTCAAACCTATGGTTTGGGAAATTACGGTTCATATTTGAATTTCTGTGTGCGTCAGTATGCTTTCCAGACTTGCTTCCTGATCTGTCTTCCTAGAAACATACTAATCTAAAATTTACAGATTTTTTTTTTCCCATGAAAGCTCAAGTAAAGCACCTAACTGTAAGACTATCAAATGGCTTGAGTTTGTTGTATTGTAGAAGTTACTGATAAGGGTTCTGTCCCAGGACCACTGCTCAGTGTGGTGCCTTATTTGTATATTATGAAGTAGCTGTTTCTTTCTTACAGTGTTTGAAAGCACTCTGAACAGTCAGTGCTGTCACTAGCACGTAGCAGGGCTAATAATTCTTTGATGGTAAAGCTTAACCTGCACATACCCAAACCCCTACCTAAATTATTCAAATGTCTAAAACCAAATACTAAATTAGACACTATTTGTTTTAGCATATCAATTTCCAGCATTCAGCTACAAACTATAAAATACAGTACCAGGCAATTTCAAACTTTCTGAGCAAAAAAAGAAAGTTTTAAGTGAAAGCTTTCAAGGTGTACCAACATTGTCTTCTGCTGACAATATCATTAGTGCCCCACTGATGAAATAAGATCATCAGTGAAGATAGCTCTGTACTAATAGAGAAATCTAAGTGTTAAGTCAGTATGCGTTTGTTGATGAACACCACGTGTAATATGGAAGAACTCTCTAACTATTGTCCACGCTCTCTTGCAGTTGGACATTGTCACCCTGATATAGTAAAAGCAGCCCATGAACAAAATCAATTGTTAAATACAAATTCTCGTTATCTTCATGACAACTTGGTCAATTATGCAGAGAGACTTTCAAAAACGCTGCCTGAGAAGTTATGCATCTTTTATTTTTTGAATTCAGGGTAAGTGAGGTATATTAGAACGGATACTCTGTTTTCACTCATTATATACAGACAAGTAAAATACTTCATTATCAACAGCTAACTGCATGGTCTGGTGTGGATGATTAGATACTGACAAAACACATGGTTTGGGATTTTTGTTTTTGAAGAAACTGTGGTCCTTTTTAGAACTTCAGTGACTCTGAAGTTCATGTTTAGAAAGCCCTCTCTTGGGAAAATAAACTAGCGCTTTATTTAAGAAGGGTTTTATTCTGTTTTTAAGGCCTTGGACTACAAAACATTAATGTAAATATTTACTGTATTAGTTTCTGGTCTGACTTGTCTTCTGAACTGGGAATTATTTCTATTATCAAAATTAAAAGTAACAACATGCATTTTCTGCTTGGGGCAGGGGTTGTGTTCCCAAGCAAACTATAGCTTTAAAACAAAAAAACTGCTTCCAAAGTAGTTTCTGTACTCCAGTTTTTTAGATGGATCCTGTCCTGGTGAGGATCTAATCTATCTAGGAGGATCACTCCTATCTAATGAGTGCTGATTACTAAGGGATCTGTGTGTAACATGCATTGAGTTCTGTCTGTTCTCTGCAGATGCAAACAGCATTGCAAGGGAGGTCAGAATTTCAAAACTCTGATGTCCACAATGAAACACTTACCAAATTTTTCAATTACAGATCTGAAGCTAACGATCTTGCCCTAAGATTGGCACGACAGTATACAAAACATGAAGATGTTATAGTTTTAGACCAGTAAGTATATTGGCAATTTTATCTACTGTGGGGTACAAGGCTCAGTTTTGGTCTGTGGTCTGAGCATTTCTGAAAACCTGTTGTAGTAAAAAGATTGTAACCAGGAAGTTGAGGGAAGTATTTTTTTTTCCCCTCTGTTCAGTATTTGTGAGACCAGCCCAGAAAACTGTGTCCAGGTTGGGCTCTCCAGTACCCAACAGACGTTAACATACTGGAAGGAGGCCAGCAGTGGCCTGCCACGATAGGTAGGGAGCCATAAGAGTTTAGGAAAATTGGATTTGTTCAGCTGTAAGAGACAGCTAGAGGGAGACCTTACTGTAACTACAACTGTCTAATGGGAAGGAGCAGAAAAGATGGAGCCAGGCCTGAAGATGTATGGTGACAGGAAAAAAGCCAACAGACGTAAGTTGAAACCTGAGGAATTCTGATGACACATAGGGAAAAACTCTTTTTACCATGAAGGCAGTCAAATATTAGAACCGGATGCCCAGAGAGACTGGAAACTCCATTGTTGGAGAATACTCAGACATAGGCCAGACACATCCCTTCCACTTGTTCTGCAATCTTGCAATACCGCTCATGACTTACACTGCTGTGATTCTAGTCACCGGCCCTGGCAAACCAGTGACAAGAAGTACTGTCCCTCTGCATCCCCTATATTCAGATGTGCCAAAAAATCCAAATACTACTAAGGTGATAGATAGAAATCTCAGAGCTTTTCTCAGCTCAAGTGTGACTGTATCCCCACCAAGTAACAGAGCCTAGCTACTCTTTAGCTACCAGTAATGCTAATCCTGAAGAACTCTTGATACTGAGGAAATGACTGTCTAGTTCTGCTAATTGTTTTTTAAGTGCCTACCATGGACATCTGACATCCTTGATTGACATAAGCCCATATAAATTCAGGAATCTAGAAGGACAAAAGGAATGGGTCCACGTGGTATGTACTTCAGCCTGTAACTATCAGCTACTTATAAATTTAATGAAGTCTTATTTAATAGATACTGAATATAGGATACTGTTCCTTTGTATAGGCTCCTGTTCCAGACACATACAGAGGACTTTATAGAGAAGACCATGAAGATTCAGTAACCGCCTATGCTAATGAAGTAAAAAATATTATTGAGCAAGCACATAAGAGAGGCAGAAAGGTAAAAAGTTATTTCCTTACCCATTTGTCTTAGAAATAAGCATGGTTGACTGTCAATGCCATTCGGGATTACTGAGCTAAGCAGTATGGACTTGTCAAAAAGCAAAGATCACACAAGCACGCAAGAACCATCTAATGACAAAGAGCTTGCTAACTGTTAATGCAATTTCCACAACTTTCTGTATTGGGTTCAAAACATTACATGCTACATGTGTTTCAGGTGGCTGCATTTTTTGTTGAATCTCTGCCAAGCGTGGGTGGTCAGATCATTCCACCAGCAGGCTATTTTCAGAAGGTTGCAGAGTAAGTGGTCATTCATTATCTTAACTTTTTACATTTAACATACTTGCTAAATATAGATGATAGAGAATTTCTCTGCCTGCTGTAGCATATAGCTTGATAGGCAGGAAATGGCCTATGCCTTCATGTTAGAATGTAAAGTTTCTATGGCAAAGACCTGCTTTTAAACACGATACAGAATATAGGCCTGGAAGTCTACAAAGTAATGCTTTCTGCATGTTCTTAAACAGTAAATACTATGTCCTGTTTCCTCTTAAGAGACAATAAAATCTGTTATGTTACAGGCACGTGCACAAGGCAGGAGGTGTATTTATTGCTGATGAAATTCAAGTTGGTTTTGGCAGAGTTGGCAAGCACTTTTGGGCATTCCAGCTTCAAGGAGAAGATTTTATACCTGATATTGTCACTATGGGGAAACCAATAGGAAATGGGCACCCTATTGCCTGTGTAGCAACAACAAAAGAAATTGCAGAAGCATTTGCAGCCACAGGAGTAGAGTATTTTAATACAGTAAGTAAAAAGTTGACCAAACTCTCCTTCTCTACGAGAGTCTAAGTATTAAAATTAGGTAATCATGCAGGGTTTTTATTAATTTTTATTACCCACACAGGTGCTGTTTAAATTATTTGTATCTTTCTAGTATATAACTTTCTATTTACTGGCTCCATCTGATATAAATGGCAGAATGCTCATTATATCACTGAGGCTACACTTTCAGTGACACGATGGCATCTTTCTTCTCTT